ATATATATATATATGTCTAAATAGATTTCACAAACGATATGCCTGTAAATTTGTCAATCACTTTCTTTTTAATCTGTGCTTTCTGTCTGTGAAAAGCAACCTCATCTTGGGAGAACATTCTTGCAGCCTTCGTTCGAGATGTACCTTATGATCTCTCCAGCCCGTCACCCCTCCCTCACTGCCATCGAGACGATGCTGACTCCTGGCGAGCCCATAAGACAGAGCAGGACTTCCCTGTGCATTTCTGAAACTGCAGCTCTTTACAGAGTAGGAAGCCCCTCTGTCTCCCGAGGAGTGGCTAGTGGTTCGAACTGCTGACCTTGGGGATCACAGCCCAGTGTGTAACCCCTGCACCAAGACTATCACACTCCATCTGTTTGTGAGGCGCGATCTTCTTGAAATTATCTGAGATGTGTGATGTGTAGGACTCAAAAAAATGCATTGCCACCGAGCCAACTCCGGCGTGTGTGACCCTGTAAGACAGTCAGGGGGTCCCTTTGGGTTTCGGAGCCCACACATCCCGGATTTGAACTGCCACCCGTGTGGTTAGCAGAGCAGCCCGTGACCCACTCTGCCACCAGAGCTGTGGGGGGTCGGAATCCTCATTTGTTTCTGGTTCTCCATTGACTCAGCATCCTTACCGTGTCCCTCTGTCATGCCAGACTGCCCCCAGGTGTTGGGTCTGAGTCTGCTTTTAAAAATGTCGATAGTCTTTGTTTTAGTATGTTGTCTTGTGTGGCACCCTTCTAATAAGTGTAGCTAAAGGCACACAGACACACTGTGCTCCTTCTCCTTATGCCCACCCCAACACACGGGCCAGCTGTCCTCCTGGGACTGTCAGGACTTAGGAGGTGCTCTGGAGCTGCTGGGCCCCGTTGTGGGAACTTCCTTCTCTCTGTGGGAGAAGGGGAGGTGCCGGCTGCCTCGAGCTCTGCGGTGCTGTCTCCGACAGCCTCTGTTGGGAGCTCCCAATTCCTTGGAGAAATTGCTCCCACTAATTGCACGGCCGCCTGGATGAGGCTGTCACCCTTGAACCATGCAATTAAGCCCTAATTTAGAAGCCTGCCTGCCACGGTCTGGCTTTAATTGTGCTTGCTGCTGTATCAAGGATAATTCAGGCGGTGGATCCAGAAGGAGCCAGCGTGTGGACCAGGGTTGCCCCCGGGGGTCTGCTCTGATTCTTCTCCGTCACCCCCTTGGAGGGTACCTGGTTGCAAGCCCTGCTTGGAGCCTTGGCCTCCTCCTCCGTTAAATGGGGGTGTTTATCCCACCCCTTTGCTAAATGGGTCTGAGGGTCAAAGGGTCATATGCACCCCCCAACCCTCCTCCCCCCACCCCAGCATCTTTTATTTTTAAACTTAATTTCCTCTCGAGCTTTTCCGTTTCTTCTGGGAGATCTTCCTCTGTGCAACCTCCTCTTCCAGTTTAGGAGCAGTTTGCTCCTCTTCGGTCAGGGTCATGTCAGTGTGGCAGGGGAGCTCATGTATGGACCGGCCATGCGCTCTCAAAGTCCAGCGGCACATTGGGGGCTTGTTCACCAGGATGTGCTCAATGGCCAGAGAATCCTCATCTAAACCCTTCAGGTCAGCATGACCCTCTGCATTTGTAAGCTTGTGCAGCAAGCATTCGGCACTCTTTTGGGGGCCACCCACTCTGGGTCCAACGGCTCTGTTTGGTCTGGGAAAACCTACCAACTCCACCATTGTAACGTCAGAAGGGCACACACTGCTTCTGCCAAGTGGCATCGTTCAAATACTTGGTGGTTTTCCGGATATGCAGACCCTTGATGCCCTGGGCAGTTTCATGGGTGTTCTTAAGCCCGAAGCTTCTACCTTGATTTGCATGACTCTGTGGGTGTCTGGGTCACGTGCGCAGTGCACCGTTTTTTTTTTTTTTTTTGGCAGACCGCCTCAGGCGCTACGGGAAAGAGGAAGAGTGGTGGATCCCGGGAGAACTCCTGGTTGCGCATCCTCAGATCTGTTAGCTTTTCGTTTTCAGTCTCTTTTTCTGGTCCCGCCTCATCTGTCTACATTTTCCCTCTTCAATTCTTATGTTGTTGATAATCACAGAGCCAAACCCCAGGCCTCCGGTTTCGGCCTGGTCAGTTAGGTGACTCTGAGGATGGCCTTGGGCTTGTATAACTAGAGTCCTCCTTTTCTGAGCCGTTCCTCTGCCGTGAAACCAAACCGAACTTGATTCTGACCCAGAGCGATTCAGCAGACCTGCTCTGTGGGGTTCCGAGACTGTATATATATCTTTACGTGAGTCGAGAGACTCCTCTTTCTCTATCAGAGCGGCTGTTGATTTTGAACTGCTGACCTTGTGGTTAGCAGCCCAGGGTGTAACCCACAAGTACTAGGACTTCAACACACAGCACATAATACAGCAAAGCGCCTTTGCTTATGTTACAGTAGAAGCGGAACCCTCCTAGCCTGAGGAACGAGGGAGGCCTTAGGGAAAGAGCACTCTTGGGAGAAAGGGTCAGACAGGCGGCGGAGGAGCCACCAAGGGCAGTCCTAGTAGCAGAACAGCAAGCATGACATGTGAGAGGCCCTGGTGGTTGGGTGGATTCCCCAGTGCACTGCTGGCCCCAACATTGGTAGTCGCTATGCTGAGGGAGATAGATGGAGCTGTCTTGGAGACTCAGAGAGGCCGCTCTCCTTGTGCCCCTGGCTGCTGTGAGTGTGGTCCACCCTATGGCCAGGAGGTCTGCGGTTCCCAGAGAAAGGCCAGTCTAAGCATGCTTGAGGATTCAGCCCTTTGGACTGGAGAAGAGCCCAGATGTGTGGCCCACAGGTTCACGCACTAGTCTGCCCACCTGTGCTGTGTCGTGTGGTGTGGTGCAGGTGAGATGGATCTGTGTAATTCT